TCTGATACTGATCTAATAAGGCTCAGTGTGTGTTTTCAGGCTTAACCAGCTCGTTTCACACATCCAGTCTGTATCACAGACACTGTGGGTGCTGCTTCTCCACTAATGCACAAATCTACACACAGATCAGCCACAACTGTGTGTGTGTTGCGCTGGTCTGAGTGGATCAGACACAGCAGTGCTGCTGTAGTTTTTAAACACTGTGTCCACTCACTGTCCACTCTATTAGACACTCCTACCTTGTCAGTCCACCTTGTAGATTTACAAAACTCTGAAACCTACTTTACTTACAGCTGTACAGAAGAGCTTTTCTGGTGGGGAACTAAACTCACTGTTCTCCACTGCAGCGCTGCTTGATCAGTGATCAGTAATGTAGCAGAGCGAGATAACGACCTTCATTAAAATCAGAAAGATTTAACGATCTAACTGTTCAGTACATTTACACTCATTTACACTCACAGGTTACTGAGTGTGGTATCAGACTCGGTATCAGTAATAAAAACATGTCTGAAACAAATGGTATTGATGCATCACTAATTATTATTATTATTATTATTATTATTATTATTATATTACTTAAAAATCATAAAGGTTTTTAACTCACCAAACTAAGCCAGTCTTGTAGACACCATTTCACTGACACCAATAAACTGATGCTGTACTGATTTCCCCTGCAGTGCTGATAAACAAACATACAATGTGCGTGAATGTAAAGTGAATAAAATGCAGATATTTTAGCGCAGAAACCCAGCGACGCCTAAACATCCCCCTCTTCTAATCACCTGTCCAATGCCAATCATTCCTTTTATGACTGTCTGCCAATACCGATATGAGTGCGATATCACTGTGTATCTCTAATCCACAACTACTTTAGTCGCATACTTTAATAGAGTACTAAAATACTGAGTCTGACTTCAGAACAGAAAACACTGTCAGACCTGAACAGGTGTGTATTGTTACCGTCCTACAATCAACCATCAAGACTTCTGTTCTTTAGCTGAGCTGCTGCAGCAGAACACACGACCACAAGGTGGCAGCAAAGATCTACAGAGAGAAGCTGCTGAGGTGAAACAGTGAGGCTGTAAAACTGTCAGCAGCTGCTTCAGCATCAGCATCACCCTTACATAACAACCACGCAGGATCGAGTCATATAAATTCAAATAAATTCATAAACTAATGATGGATTAAAATGTACCTCCTCACTGAATTAGGTGGTAATAATAATAATAATAATAAATAATAATAATAATAATGTGCATTTTAAATTCTCCTACTGCTCCTACACACGCTTATACATATTTTTGTTTTGTTTTTTTGTTTTGTGAAGTTGGCTTTTTATGTATTTTTTTCCCAGTAAAATCTTGTGGAGTCTTTAAAAAGCTTTGCGTGACCTTATTTAAAAATAAATAAATAATCGAGCTTCCTTAATGAATCCCTCAAATAACTGGTTGATTACTACATTACTAACATAATCAACAGTGACAGTCCTAGTAACAATGCTGTAATGATACAATGTGTCGTACTGTATCAAACAGTATCAAAGCGTTCAAAAGAACAAACAGAGAGCGCTGCTGGGACGGAAATAAACACTGAGTGCTGAAGGTGCTCTGAGGCCAGGGGCTCAAAATCTCCAGAAAAAGGGGAAAGGTCATGGCACTGTTCATTAAATAAATTAAAGCTTTTACTATAACATTTATTGTATTGTACTGTATTGTACTGTATTGTTTTGTAACACACTGTACTGTATCATACTGTACTGTACTGTATAGTATTGTACTGTATTGTATTGTACTGCACTGTACTGTACCGTGTTGTATTATGCTGTACTGTATTGTACTGTACTGTATTATAATGTATTGTACTGTATCAGACTGTACTGTGCTGTATCTGTAGGTACAGTGCCTTGTTGTATATGTTCCTCGTCAGTGTAAACAGGGTTTAATCTCATGTTTCTCCAGTCTTTATATTCAATCTGAGAAGCAGCCTAACCACAATCACCATTCTGACTGTACATCTCCACTCTGTTTTTATTTATTCATACCTTTTAATGTGACCAGAACCTAAATCCTAATTCATTTCATGCCATCATATTCAGCACATCTGCCCAGCGCTCCACAATCACACACTATTAAACAAATAGACTTCAACAGCTTTAGTTAAACAGAGCTTTGCTGACTGATAAGACGGTCAGTTGTTACCTGATACTCTACTGTTCAAAAGTCTGGATCCAGCGACCCCATTCACATCTGGTCATTTAATGCGTCATTAGTATTGGGATTATATCTGGACAGAAATTATCCACATAAAAATGCAGGTGTAAACACATCCAAAACACAGTTAACACAGGTTTAAATCTGATCATTCAAACCACTTACACTGTTTACACCAGGCCATTTCACACATCCTGAGTATCAGGATTATATCTGTCTAGAAATCATCCCCATTAAAGGTGCCGTATGCGTTTATTCAGCATTTTACATTGTTGTTAATCTCTACATAGAAGGTGAAAAATGCCCAGATGTGGTTTTACTCACCCATTTACAGCCCTGTCGTTTGGCCCCAGAATAAAATGAGCTGTTTCCCTTTTTTGGGGGGTTCATGAATAATCTGATGAGCTCTGCTCTGATTGGCTGGTTTACAGTGAGGCACCACAACGGCTTACAAAGAAGCTACATGTGGAAAAAATAAACAGCAGGAAAATAAAATGACCCTCGGTGTAAATAAGATGGTCCTCACCCTGTTTAGCTAACTATGCTAGTCGCTAACGTTACCTACGCTAGCTACTCGCTTTCGATCTCAACAACAACACAAAGTGAATTAAAGCTGTTCTCACTGTGAAGCTTCAGTTTAAGATGATTTAACCGTCAGACAGTGATAAAACCTCTCAGCAGGGCTGCTTACAGGCTGCTGTTGGGGCTGTGGTGCTAATAAAGGTGGAGCTGCGTCTCTTCAGGGTCAAACGCTGAGCGAAGCTGCTCAATGTTGTCCGAGCTTTGAGAAACTGTCCAGAGTGAAATGAGCAGAGAAGCTAACAGCTCTGAGCTACAGCTGTCGGGATCCTGTTAGAGATGTGGGAGCTGAAGTCGGATTCCTGTTCAACAGCTTGGTTTGGTGAATTTTCTGTCCCACCTCAAATGGCGCCTGTACAAGCTGCAGCATTTAAGGTGGAACGGAACATTCAGTGAAGAAGCTGTGAACAGGAAGCCCTTCAGCCTGGTTTAAAGATGATCACCAGCTGCTGACAGTTCGGTTCTTGTGAAGGGAATGAAAAGTGCTGACGTTCCTTCACAGCCTGGAGCTGCATTTCTACACATAGTCTGCTATTTTCATTGCTGCTGCTCTGTTGTTGTTGTTGTTTCGGTGGGCTAGAACGTGGGCTGGGGCCAAAGTACATTTTGGGGGTGTAAATATTAATGAGCGAAGACTGTTATGTAACTGCTTAGGATTTTGGAATCGGCCCGTTGGGCAAATGCAGGATTTGTATCTGAAGGAGGAGACAGCAGTGTTCGAGGTTCACAGCTTCAGGTACCGAACGCTCCTTATTCAACTACACCAATGTAAATACAGTTTTCCACTCTATGGCACCTTCAAAGCGCAGCTGCAAACACACACCAGATGCACTTAAAACAGATTAAACCCTGTTTACACCTGGGCATTTCATGCATCCTGAGTATCAGGATTATATCCAGATAGAGATTATCTGCATACAAATGCAGGTGTGAACGCAAACCAATACATAATTAAAACTGAATTAAATCTGAACACCCAAACCACTTCGGGAAAGCCCCTTTAACGTAGCGTGTTGATAAGGCTGCGTTGTTAAGGAGGTGAAAGCAGAGTTAGTGAGGCTGCAACAAGAATGACCTCTGAGTGCATCTTAAACAGCTGAACTGACTCATTAGAAGAACTATCTGGTTCTTTAGTTATCGGCACGCTTAAATGGCTCTCGCATTGATGGAGAATGTGTGGATGGTTCTACGTAGAACCTTTTGGTGCTATACAGAACCATCTACAACACATTCTCCATCAATCTCAAGAAACATTTTGCCATGCTGAGAACCACTTAAGCATGCAAATGGTTCTTTGGGAGTTAATGGTTCTACACAGAACAATTGTCTTTACCAAAGAACCCTTGTAGAACCATTTGTACAGGAGCCCTTTTCACTCTGTGAAAATTAGTTATTTTCATTTGTTTTCCTGAGATCTCATGATATTTGTCACTATCGTGGCAAACTTATCATAGCATAACGGTCATTGCTTTAGCGACAGGACATCTGTTATGTTGTGATAATGGTGTAAACATCTCGAGATCCTTTGTGATCCTCGACACTACCAAGTGTAAATGCATGAGTCTGAAATCTTATCAGGATACAATCCGGATTCTGGACACAGGTGAAAAGGTGTAAAAGGTGTCGAGGACTCATTTAAAACAGATTTAAATCTGATCTCTCAAACCACTTACAGTGTTTACATCTGATTATTTCATGTGACTTATATGACTGGAATCAATCAATCAATCAATCAATCAATCAATCAATCAATCAGTCAATCATGTGAATGAATGGCCCTTTAAGGCTTCCGTAGTCTGGAGATCTTTGGCCATTTAGTGTCTATTGGTCTCCAGCACTGTGTTAAGTTATTATAGAAGGACTCCTATCTGACCTACAGAGCTGACTTAGATCTCACATGTTTCCAGTCTTGGAGGAACCAGTGACTCATTTTTGGGCGCTGGAGACAAAAAACTTGCGAACTGTGTCACTTTATTTCAGGCTACAGTTCGCTTCTTGTTCTAATTCTCCGTTCCACCTTAAATGGTGCAGCAGTTACATTCTGGCGCCTCAGGCTGCTGTAAATGTAACTGCTGCCCCATTTAAGGTGGAACGGAGAATTCGAATAAGACGCTGTCAGCCGTCGCGAGGCAGCCTCGTTAAGCTGCGTGTGTGAGTTTTATGAAGCGCTGCTGATTTTAAACCGTTAAAACAGAGGTGATGCGGATTTACCTGTTTTATCCCAGAACTGCTGTTCAGCTTCCAGTGCTGGAAAACGTCCACAGCGCGCGCTGGCGAATCCCGAACAACGACCAAACATCTTCATTATCCATGATTTTGGAGTGGAAAGAGAATAACATCCATCAGCTCCACAGCTGCGGTCCAAACTGACACAGAACTGCAGAGTGGAAGCGGTTACACTCCCACGGTGCGGGCAAAGCCTCATGGGAAATGTAGTCCTACCTCTCACACTGTTCAGACGCGCTCTGTCAGCAGTGTGCAAACAGCAACGTTACTCATAAACATTCAAAAAGAGTTATTAATCATATCAGAGTTAATAATTACTGTTTATTAGTTAGGTACAACATTTTATTTTCATATTAAAGTTATGTATGTATGTTATATATGAATAAAAGGCATGTATTTTTGTATATGTGGGAGAAATTAGTTTGCAAAAGTGGTCTGTTTTGAACTCATGGTTGTGATGTCACCAAGAACAAATTTACAGCTTACAGCAGCTTAGATCCGCTCAGTTATGTGGTGTGCTTCAGCAGTCACGGTAGTGAATCAGAACAAACGTAATTAGCATATATCATTTACATATCTCTTAAAGGCACAGTAACCAAGGTTGAAAAAAAGAATGGGTGGAGCTAAACTGCTGTAGGCTGAATGGGTGGGGCTAAACCGCTGTAGGCTGAATGGGTGGGGCTAAACTGCTGTAGGCTGAATGGGTGGGGCTAAACTGCTGTGATGAATTTTGTGACATCACAAACATACTGGTTTCCAAACAGGCTGTTTTGCAGCTCATTTCCGTAAATATTCCGAACGGGAAATGAACGGTGTGTCTAATGTAAAAATGTTTGCACAACTTCATCGAACTCTTATTCCAATAAAAAGGAGGGAAGTTCAGTTTTCCATGATATGGACCCTTTAAAGCCCTGGAGCTGGAGACACTCAGGCTGTCTGGTTTTGAGAACTTGTCCAAACAGTGTTGTTGCGTGACTGAGACACAGAGAAACACAAAGACACTGTGTTCAGTCACCAAACCTCCCGCTCGGTTTAACCCACCACATTCCTCCACACATTCCACAACCACCACACACCAGACACACTCAGAGGAGAGGAGAGGAGAGGAGAGGAGAGAGGAGGAGAGGAGGGGAGAGGAGAGGAGAGAGGAGGAGAGGAGGGGAGGGAGAGGAAATAAGAGGAGAGGAGAGAGGAGAGAGAAGATAGGAGAGGAGAGGAAATGAAAAGAAGATGGGAGAGAAGAGAGGAAAAAAAGAGAGAGGAGAGTAATAAAGGAGAGGAGAGGATGGGAGAGGAAAGGAGAGGAGAAAAGAGGAGAGGAAAAGAGGAAGAGGAGAGGAAAGGAAAAGACGAGGGGAGTGGAGAAGGGAGGAAAAGACAGGAGAGGAGAGAAGAAAAGAGGAGAGGAGAAGAGAGGAGAGGAGAGGAGAGGAGATGATATGAGGAGAGGAAAAGAGGAGAGGAGAGAAGAAGAGGGGAAAGATGATGAGAGGTAAATATTCAGCAGACACTCAGCATGTTTGAGTCAAGGAGCACAAGTACAGAGTTTAGGCAGGTTTGGTTTATTACAGTATCACTCCATTCTGGAAATGTATGGAATATTTCCATATTTACAGTCATGTTTATCCAACAACACACACACACACACACACACACACACACACACACACACACACACACACACACTCCTCTCAGGAAGCGTTCCATGCAAATCCATAGTTTATTATGTGAGTTCTTTGAAGTTTAATATGTTTAATAGTTTAATATGTGAGTTCAAAGAAACTGAAAGAATTCAGTCACACTAGCAGGCTGTGTGTACAGGGACTACAGACGGCACGATACCAATTAGTCTGGTACCGATACTGAAGCCTGAAGTATCAGCTGATACTGATTTGATACTGAAGAGGGGGCTGATAAACCGTACAGCTGCAGATAGACTACAGTCTGTAACTGTACACCTACCTTACAGCTCCACTATGTAGGTGTACAGTTACAGACTGTAGTATCATCAGTAATGTTCAACATCTCAGCTCAGAATGGCTCTCAGAAAGTGAGCAATCACATATTAAACGCTGGACTTCCAGTGGAATGTCCTTTAAAAAGAGCCTCTGTAGGATATGTAGCACAGTCCAGTGGCTGAATAAAAGCTCCAGAAAGACCAATGAGAAACAAGCTTGTTAACGAATCCAGTTAAATAGGAAGAGTCATTGCTGTGTTTTAAGGCTGAGAACATGTAGTTTTAATGAACAAACAATCTTCATACTGCAGCTGTGGAGCAAGAAAGGGAAACATGTAAACCTGGAAAACTATAAACCACACATCCGCACACAATCACCCTCTTTCACCCACGACATCCATTCATACAGTGATAACTTCAAGTATTAGGTCATTCCGTAACACATAACTAATCACTAATTATCGCTCTGGGAAAACAAATCTATGAATCATTAATAAGTAAAAAAGCTCCAAACATTCTCCACTTCATTAACCCTGAATTATTGAGAATACAGTTAATTTGGTCCTGTTTACAGTGCTGCCCAGCGGCCAGGACATTCAGAATGGTCACTCAGAGTTCCAGTGAATGCTCGGCTTCATCCCAGGCCGACGTCCAGTGACATCATCACGATGAAGCCAAGGATGGAGGTCCAGGAGGCCAGCTTTCCATTTCCACTGGAGGAGAAAACAAACGTTGATTAGCCACAAAAAGGTACTACACTGTCGACTCAGCTGCAGATACAGATATAAAACGACTCTAATACCCACTACATGTCCAAAAGTGTCCAGATGCTCCTTCTAATTAATGAATTCAGTTACTTTAAGTTCACCCATCGCTGACCAGCTTGTGTAATCTCCATAGAAAAGCACTGACCAATAGAATGGGACACTCTGCAGCAGCTACACATGATCCTAAGGTCTCCATGCCCAGTGCCAAGCGTGGACTAGAGGGGTATAAAGCCCCCCAGCATTGGGCTGTGGAGCAGTGGAACTGTGTTCTCTGGAGTGATGGAGCTCCATCCAATACCTTTGGGATGAGTTGGAGTGTCCAGAACTGACCATCCAGCATCAGTACCTGACCTCACTAATGCTCAATCAAATCCTCACAGCAATGTTCAACATCTAGTGTAGAGCCTTCCCAGAAGAGTAGAGGCTGTTACTGCAGCACAGACTCACTATTAACACCTTCATTCCAGAAGAAGCTCTGGAGTCCACAGACTTTTGGGCTTGTGATACAGCAGCTCTTCAATTTTGAGTGATATTATCAATATATTTATTAATATCTGTACAACTTTTTATTTTATTTAATTTTTTTTAGTAAAAAGCAACAAAATGGAACCATAAACATAATTTACAGTACCACATAAGAGCTCATTTACCTGACTTGGGCTTCAGGTATGATGTCATCCACCACCACGTAAACCATGGCCCCCGCAGCAAAGGCCAAAGCGTAGGGTAGCAACGGCTCAGCCAGCACCACGGCAACGGCGCCTAGCAACCCAGCTAGCGGCTCCACCATCCCACTTAGCTGCCCGTACCTGAAAACACACACGTCGTTAAGAAAATGACTTTTCAGATTTTCCCACTTAATCTCTAACAGAAATCACAGACATTTACAGGACTTCCTCTGGAATATCAGGATCATCTGACGTCAACCTTCACACTGAAAATGCTCAAAAGCTGCCTGAGCAGCTGAGCAGAGGATTAACGTCTTTTCTGATGTTTCTGATATATTTCTTCTTTTTCTGTGCTAAAAACAGAACTAACTGATATTTAACAGAAACCTACATTTAAATTACTGGACATAAAAATCAGATCAGTTAGTAAAGAGAAGATCAAAATCTTTTTCACTTCATTTAAATATGGATATATAAAACTACAAAAAATTATCTCTTGGCAAGGAAAATCATATATATCAATAAATCCTTGCTGTCCAGAGAAAAACATGTATCCCCATTTTTGTCGATTTTTATTTTTCTACTCCATTTGAACTTAAAACAAGTAAAAACTATGCACCAATAGGCTGGATAATCCTCTAATATTCTTACAACAATCTCACAGTGAGGAATATTAGACATGCTGGCTAGCTTTAAGAACACTTCCTAATTTTCTGTTTTCCATTAAAAAAGCTCTAAATTTGGGTTTCATTATTCTTCATTAGAAACAGAAACAAGTCCTGAAAACGGTATAAACGACCCAGTTTTTTTATTAAATAACAGAACACCAAGGAGAGTGAGAAGAGAAAGTGATGCAATAAAGAGAGTAAAGGTGTGTCCACTCACCAGAAGGCTCTCCAAGTGGACGTTCCAGAGCCTCGCAGCGGCAGACTCACCGCAAGGCCTTCTGGGAAATTCTGGATTCCTATGCCTATGGCCAGGTTTCTGAAACACAGAATGGGTATAAACACCTCCATCACCAACCAAACCGACACCACGAAAACAAACGCATTAAAGCTCCAAGTGAGATCTGGAGGCTTTCAGTAGTCAGTCAGGTGATGTTTATCCACGTTAGCGTGATGCTTTAATACCGGTAATGTTTGAGCTTTGCGTCATTCACACACGCAGCCTTTAAACGGTATTTAAACAATGTGCATTCAAGGCAAACAGCTCCTTCATTTCTATATCATGTACAGGATGCACTCCCATGACTCTTTACTCATAAGAGCTGATAGATTTTACTGATTTTATCTATGACTGTGTATGAAATGCATTGCATTTCACTCATAACACTAAAAACTCGACTGTAAATACCAGTGACTCACTGAAACGTCATTCGACACACCGTAAATACTGTAAACAGTGAATGTAATGACATGTTTTGAGGTCTGAATTGACGTAAACAGTGCTTTTTCATCTGACCTATTTATTTTGCTCAGCACTGTTTAATTCAATTTATGAAAGCTGAAAAAGTAGCTAAACTGCTCGTCACCACATAAATTCATTTTTGTCTGAATTTGACAAACCAATTTTTAAAGTGAACCAACTTTAATTCCAAAGTTGTGTAATTAAATACATTCTGTATGCACAATTTTTCTGTCAAAACAAAACAGAAAAAAGCTTTCTCAAGCCGAGACTGAGCACACAGCGCATAACCTTCCATCAAATATCAAACATCACAGAATATCTCCTCCTCTGCTCAGACACTGATGTGGTCTGTACTGAGAGCTCAGAATCTGCACTATACACAGGATTTCTCTGCTCGCTTTAACGAGCTGTGAGTCTGAAACAATTAACTGAAACGTAAGAAGAGGCGTTTCAGCCAGACGAGCCCTGGAGGAACTACGAGGCTTAAACAAGCCTGTGAAAACAGCAACAACCAGAGCATTAGTCACATAAGCTGCAGTGCCGTAACCCACAGCGTGAGCGTGAGGGTGGTCCGGGCTGGGAGGGTTTGCCCTGATAACTGCCTTTATTTGTTTGGCCTGTGCTTCTCAGCATCCCGCCTCAAGAGTCTTCCGCCCACCCCAACCCCCCCACCACCCCCCCCGCCGCCCCAACCACCACCACCACCACCACCACCAAACCCAGCCCACAACCCCCTGAAAAGCTGCAGACACAGAACAAGAACAGTTGCTCTGTTTTGAGAAACAGTGTTTGGGCCCCCTCGCTCCGTCCAAAGCCATCCCTGGCTCGCAGTCAAGCCCACGCCCCCCCCAACGTCCGCCCCCCCCACCCCCCACCCAGAGGAGGAAGATTAATGACAGCTAGTCACGGAAAGCAGCCTCGGACGGTGGGAAGGAGCGAGGAGAGAGAGAGAGAGAGAGAGAGAGAGAGAGAGAGAGAGAGAGAGAGAGAGGAGGGAGAGAGAGAGAGAGAGAGAGAGAGAGAGAGAGAGAGAGAGGAGAGAGAGAGAGAGGAGAGAGAGAGAGAGAGAGTGAGAGAGTGAGAGAGAGAGAGAGAGAGAGAGAGGGAGAGAGCGAGAGAGAGAGAGAGAGAGGATGAGCAGGGGGAGCAGAGAAAAGGCAGTCGTCGTTTACCGTCAGAGCGAGAAAGCTTGAGAAAAAATATGCTTAACAGAGTTAAAGTGGTTTTAAAGCCATAATTTGTTTCTGCTCTCCTTCTTAAGCCAAACGGTCGATCAGCCAGGACGTGTTTGGTGTCTGAATTTGCTTCTTTAGTTTTAGCACTGGAGCTACAAGGCTAATGTAGCTAACACACAGAGTCAGTCCTGACCTCTTGGGGCTCTAAGCTAAATTCTCCAAAGGGGTCCTCCTGCCTGACCCCTCCCAGTGCTTCCACTACAGTCCCCCTCCTTTAAACCAGTTTACTCCATCTGTCACTCTAAGAATAAGTAGACTTGAACAGAATGAGTTGCAAGCAAACTTTTACATTTTAAATCATAGATAACACTGATTATCAGCTGCATCATCAAACTGCTTCCCCAGATTCCTTTAAACATTTTCAAATATAAAATGCTATTCATGTGTATTTCTCACTATTAGCTCTTTGAGAAATACGGTCCAAAGTGTAGATTCGTAACTGTCCATTGATAGTGCTCTTAACTCGGTTATATACTCGCATAGGCACTTAATTTCATAACACTACTTCACCACTGCTCCCATTGCCCATGGCGTACCTCAGGGCTCTGTTCTGGGCCCGCTTCTCTTTATAATTTACATGCTGTTATTTTGGTCACACAATTTGCCGTTATGGATTGAGTGTTTACTGTGAGTCTGATTTTTATGGATGAAAAAAAAACACAAACAAGTTTAATAAACAAACACACACATGTTAATGCTGTGTTTGACACCGAGACCCAAACTGACAGACTGAGATGCTGAGTAATTCTTTTAATCAGAATCTGCTCGATTTTCTGCATTGTATGGATGAGCTAAAAGTCAGGCTGACCAGTCAGAGCTCCACTGTCATGGCTGCAGCCCAAACAAATGTGCATCAAGATGCCAATGTGACTTGTAGCAGAGCTCAAAGCTTATACGACGAGCAACACGCTGACTATAAAAATACGGAGGTTAAAGAAAATATGGATGGTGATATTACAGTGACTGTATTTTGCCATTTTTCAGTTTTTCTAGATTGATCCTAGTCTAATGAACACTCCTTTGTAGCGAGAGGAGCACCAAGCAGAAGCTGAGCCTCGAATTCCCCCACCAACACAGAAACACCTTCAAAATCGGTTAATGTACAGCTCAGCGAAACTCCCCATGGTGGCATCTGAAGAAAAATAATTACTGCAACTCAAAGAAAATATTTCTTCTTCCTCTTCCATCTTCTTCCCACGTTGTCAGAGTGTTCAGACAAAAAAATAAAATGCTCAGACTTGGTGTGAAGATCCCACCATATTAAAACTCGCATCTGTTTTAATTTAATTTAATCCAAAAATCTTACTTGTTGTGAATAGGTTTTTATGTTGATGGCATGCAAATCTAGATCAGTTCCAGACCCACTACAACGCCCCCCCCACAAAAAAAAACTGCTCTATCCGCCTATACGACGTTAAGGTGTGGTGTTTTTAAATTGAACACAGTGTTGTCCTTTTAAAGGCTCCCAAACACCTTGTTAACACCCATCTGACCACTGATGGAGTTTCACAGTTTCTAATCACATTTGACTTATTATTTACTTTCGATTCGATAATTAACTTACCAAATAAGCACAAAGTATTACTCAATCATGAATAATGTTAACCATGTCAGCACCAAAATAAGCTGATCAGGTTACTATCAGTCTTCATAAACGGGAGTAAAGACTAATTTAAACAAAAACAGTTTCAAACAATGTACCCATCACTGTCCACTTACTTCCATTAGTCCTTTACGTTGTCATGGATGTTGAGCGGTACATCCAGTAGAGGGCAGTCTAGAGTCAAAAGTTTCTGATGACAACAAGCACAGCGACGGTGGAGGAGCCGTAATAATGTACCAACTACGAAAGAGACGAACGAGGCAGCGCTGTAGTCTGGGGTGTCTGTGAGGACATTAAATACACTGTGACGTGTGGACGGAGAATTCTTTTCACTTATATTACCAATGAGAGAAACTGGCATCGTGTCTTCAGTGAACTATTGACTACACTGCCCCCCATGGCTTCCGGTGGTACTGCTCTGTTTTGTCCATATCTGTAAGTGTTCAGGGAATGAACACAGAGTACAGACAGAAGCTCTGTCTGTATCTGTATTTAAGTATTCTGTGTTTTAAGAGAAATTCCTATTAATTTATATGCAAATGAGGCCCCTTTGATCATATCATGTAGAAAAGACTATTTAGCAAATCAAATAAATCGCAACAGTCACATTTTAACAACACAACGGGGTTTGCAGTGGTAAAAAACATTAATCTGCTCTGCTAGACTCTGGAATAACTCTAGGCTGAAGGGTTAAAGGAGATTTTAAGGGCTTAGACATGCTAAGTGATGCTAACGTTAGCTCAGAAAAGGATGCAGGCACAAGCAGAGACGAGTGGAAGGACATATAAACAGAAAAGGTGCTCGCTGGGTGAGGCAAACTCAGTCACCCAGCTCCAGAGTTCAGCACCAGGATCAGGCAGTGAGGAGAACAGACCGTCTTGCTTATTTTCCCATTCCCAGGAAATCTGCTCTGGCACAGCTCACTCAGCGCTGGAATTCTGGGTGGTTAGAGTTCATCCACCCACCGCTCCCTCTGTTATGGGCAGGAAAGGCTGAAGCTTACTTACTGTAAACTGTCTGTTATGCTCTCAGCAGCGTGAGTGGGTGGAGGTTCAGCTCACTTCTCAGTGCACTTTAGCTGTCATCATATCAGAGCGCACTGGATCAGGACGGACCTGACTCTATTCAGGATTCTGTTTCTGCTACTTACTGCAGGTCAGTGTTAATAAGGCTACATCACATCTACATAGGGCCTTCATTTCAAAGGACATGGACCTAAATCGGGGTCTCCAACCATGATCCTGAAGATCCAGCTTCCTGCAGAGTCTAGTTCCAACCACAATCATCTCATAACAAACCGCCACCGGTTGAAGTGTCCTAACAACATGGTGGCCGTGTGCATGGAATGGTTCTATACAGAACCAGAAAGGGTTCTGTTATTGTTATGATGTCAAGCTTATAACAATAGAAGAAAGTTGTAATAATGAGCTTCATTAGGTGTAATGCGAACTTACGAACACTGACCTACAGCGACGTCACTCTTTGTGACACTGAATATAGAGTAGTGTATTAAAACATTTGTGTAATGCAAAACTTGAGTGTTACACCAAACATTCAACTAATGTTTTGACTACAAACAGACAGGCCAGCAGACAGACAGATGTTTGTGTCTGTGTGGTGTTTGGCCAACTCTCCTCAGACACACACCTGTTACACCTGCATCAAAAACACTGCAGGAACAAACACTGACTGACAAACAGACTCACAGCCGCGCTGCCACACCTCGCTGAACTACTGCACTACTGAAGCACTGTGTGTTAAAATGTAGTGATTCATTTGATTTGATTTTTGTTTAAATGTTTAAAAAATATTTCGGCCAGTAAGAAGTGTGAACATGTTTCTGTTTAATGATGAGAGAGGTTATTATTTCACCTGACCAAAGACAGGAAGTGAGAGAGGAGAGAGAGACTGGAAATAACACAGACACAAGTTTCATACAGCCAGCTGTGTTTGAGGACAAAGACAAGAAAGGAGAGAGAGAGAGAGAGAGAGAGAGAGAGAGAGGGAGGGGGAGAGAGGGAGAGGGAGGGAGAGGGAGAGAGGAGAGAGGGGGGAGGGAGAGAGGGAGAGAGGGAGGGAGAGGGAGAGAGGGGGGGGGGAGAGGGAGGGAGAGAGAGTTGTAGGGGGGCTGTTCTGTTGTGGGAGATTTCAGCACAATGTGGGCTTTGAGCAGCAGAGAATAACATTTAGACAGAGACACCAGCGTCTCCCTCACTGTAACCACAGCATAAACCCACTGCCCCACCTCTCTTTACCCCTCTCTACCCCTCTCTTTACCTCTCTCTACCTCTCTTTATCCCTCTCTGCCTCTCTCTACCTCTCTTTATCCCTCTCTGCCTCTCTCTACCTCTCTCTACCTCTCTGTATCCCTCTCTGCCTCTCTCTACCTCTCTCTACCTCTCTTTACCCCTCTCTACCTCTCTTTACCCCTCTCTGCCTCTCTCTACCTCTCTCTACCTCTCTTTACCCCTCTCTGCCTCTCTCTACCTCTCTTTACCCCTCTCTGCCTCTCTCTACCTCTCTTTACCCCTCTCTGCCTCTCTCTACCTCTCTTTATCCCTCTCTCTCTATCTCTCTTTATCCCTCTCTCTCTACCTCTCTTTACCCCCCTCTCTCTCTCTACCTCTCTTTATCCCTCTCTCTCTACCTCTCTTTATCCCTCTCTCTCTACCTCTCTTTACCCCTCTCTCTCTCTACCTCTCTTTATCTCTCTCCCCACCTCTCTTTACCCATCTCTCTCTACCTCTCTCTACCTACCTCTCTTTACCCCTCTCTCTCTCTACCTCTCTTTATCTCTCTCCCCACCTCTCTTTACTCATCTCTCTCTACCAACCTCTCTTTACCCCTCTCTCTCTCTCTACCTACCTCTCTTTACCCCTCTCTCTCTCTACCTCTCTTTATCTCTCTCTACCTCTCTTTACCCATTTCTCTCTACCTCTCTTTATCTCTTTTTACCCATCTCTTTCTACCTCTCTGTACCCCTCTCTCTCCCTCTACCTCTCTTTATCTCTCTCCCTACATCTCTTTACCCCTCTCTCTCTACCTCTCTTTATCCCTCTCTCTCTACCTCTCTCTCTACCACTCTTTACCCCTTTCTCTCTACCTCTCTGTACCATTCTTTACCCCTCTCTCTCTACCTCTTTTTGTCCCTTTCTCTCTACCTCTCTGTACCACTCTTTACCCCTCTCTATCTCTCTTTACTCCTCTCTCTATACCTCTGTACCCCTCTCTCTCTCACTACCTCTCTCTACCTCTCTCTACCCCCCTCTCTCTCTTACCTTTCTCTCTTTCTCTACCTCTCTTTACCTGTCTCAACCCCCTCACTCTCCCTCTACCCTGGACAGTGAGAGGTGTTCTGTTTGATTCATATTCATATTTTCATATCATCATTCGACTCCACTGCACGCCCACCAAACAGCGCTGATGGCAGGACGCAGACGGTTATAAGCTTCCATTGATACTACATCGGCCTCGTGGCTCCAACTGTCACTTGTTAGCCATTTTAGCCTGACAGCTTCTTTTGGGGGGCGGGTTGAGAGTTTTGTGACAGAGAGAGAGACGAAGGCTCGACTGAGCTAAATTAAATACGCTAAAGCTACAGGTATTTCTGGAACACGGTGGCTTTTCTGATCTCATTTCTGAAAAACGCCTAGTGTCAAAGGTCAAGCGTATAACGCATGTATGATGTAGCAGGTGGAGGTGAAACAGACGCTGACTGAGGCTCTAAAGCTGTGCATCTGAAATCTGAACTCCAGTGGAAACCACCTTCAAACATTCCTCACACAGCAGAAACAGAGGCTGCGAAAATAACGTGCTGCTTTGAAGCGCTCCAAAACATCTGGTTTAAACCAAGAGAGAGAGAGAGAGAGAGAGAGAGAGAGAGAGACTGCATATGTGTGATGCTTAATACTCTCCTCCTTTTCTCTCTCTCCCTCTCTCTGATGGGTTTTAGAGAGTCACTGTGACAAAGACTCCTTTCTTGTGCTGTAATAACTGCAATGTGTGCCCACAGTCCAGTCACACACTTAGGATTGTGCATTTCACTCACACAGAAGGACAGAGCGAGCGAGCGAGAGACGACAGAGAAAGTCTTGCTAACATCTGGATGAGTATCTCATTTCATACCGAGAAACTGTGTAACGTCCTCCATCGAGTCTACATGCTCGGACTGGTGAAACAAGGCTGCTGTTATAGCTAATGCCTTCCATCTGCCATCTGCCACTCCCTGGCCACTTTATTAGAAACACCTACCATGCACATCCAGTGGCCAGTGAGTGGAACAACAAGGTGTTTTCAGTAAAGTGGCCAGTCAGTGGAAAAATAAGGTGTTTGCAATAAAGTGGCCAGTCAGTGGAAAAACAAAGTGTTTGCAATAAAGTGGCCAGTGAGTGGAAGCACAAGGTGGGTGTTTCTAATAAAGTGGCCAGTGAGTGGAAGCACAAGGTGTGTGTTTCTAATAAAGTGGCCAGTGAGTGGTAGCACCTGGTACGTTTTTCTAATAAAGTGGCCAGTGAGAGATTAAACACTGCCATGTCTGAACACTGGGGGGCAGCATCACACAGCAGAGCGTGAACACAGAGGTAACTGTATGGCAGAAGATGCTGCACTCCTTCATATAAATCAGACACTGTTGATTGGCGCTTCCTCCTCGAGCGCATATACTTCCACACTTCCTCTCCGCTTAGAGCTCCTTTTTCACCGCGTTAGTTTTCTTCACTCGTTTTGGCTTCACTTATAATCACAGCCCTCAGAGCTTTCTGGTCACTTTAGTGGACCACATTCCTTTTTTTCACTCGTGCAGCTCAGTTTCCATTTACGGGCTGGTGATTGAATTATGGTTAATTATTAAATGTAAATATATTTTAAGTATTGTTGTTGAGGGTGGTCTTGAGAACGAGCGTTCAGGTATTTAAAGTCTGTAAAACCCTGTTCCTGCCAGACTGCCAGACTCTTACTTTAAACACAGAGGAAAACTCCAGTTTTTCATTCTATGGGCTCTTTAATCATCTCCCTCCTGAGCGGAGATGTGTACCATTCGCTGATTCTAGAGCTCATGTCAGATGTATGGGGTTTATGAGGGAACAAGGTTGTTGAGAACTTGCCTGGCGCTCTCGAACGTAGCCGAGGTGGTCTTCCCAGCAGCTCCGAATCCCACCCCCACCGCCAGACCCTCTGAAACAGAACACACACAACACACCTGTCAGAGTCTCCACCTGCTTTAACACACAGCTGAGAGAGAGACAGAGAAAATGAGAGGATAGAGAATAAAAAGAGAGAGAGGGAGAACAGAGAGCGAATAAGAAGAGAGAAAGGAGAGAGAGAGAGAGAGAGGGAAAGATTGGGAAAAAGAAATTTAAACTCAGAGTAAGCTGGAACGCTATCAGTCACCGCCTGAGAGACAGTGGGTGACACCCCCCCATACCCTGACCCTAGTGACCTCCACCCTCTCTAAATCCCCACCCTTCTGACCCCCAGCCCACATTCCCCCAACACTACACACATGCATAAATAATTTAAAACTTGTTTCCACATTGGTTTAATCAATAACCATACATTACACCATTTCTGTTCTTTTAGTATAGTCAACAATGTCACTGTTATTACTGTTAATATTTGATATATTATTATATGTTGATGTTGTTATTGTCATTGTTGTCACAGCTAGGGAGGGACAGAGAGAGAGAGAGAGAGAGAGAGAAGAGAAAGGGAGGAGAGAGAGAGAGAAAGGGAGGAGAGAGAGAGAGAGGGAGAGAAGGACAGAGAGAAAGAGAGAGAGGAGAAGGGAGAAGGAGGAGAGAGAGAGAAGAGAAAGGGAGAAGGAGGAGAGAGAGAGAAGAGAAAGGGAGAAGGACAGAGAGAGAGAGAGAGAGAGAGAGAGAGATAAGAGAAAGGGAGAAGGAGGAGAGAGAGAGAGAGAGAGAGAGAGATAAGAGAAAGGGAGAAGGACAGAGAGAGAGAGAGATAAGAGAAAGGGAGAAGGAGGAGAGAGAGAGAGAGAAGAGAAAGGAAGAAGGAGGAGAGAGAGAGAAGAGAAAGGGAGAAGGAGGAGAGAGAGAAGAGAAAGGGAGAAGGAGGAGAGAGAGAGAGAGAGAAGAGAGATAAGAGAAAGGGAGAAGGAGGAGAGAGAGAGAGAGAGAAGAGAAAGGGAGAAGGAGGAGAGAGAGAGAGAAGAGAAAGGGAGAAGGAGGAGAGAGAGAGAAGAGAAAGGGAGAAGGAGGAGAGAGAGAGAGAGAGAAGAGAAAGGGAGAAGGAGGAGAGAGAGAGAGAGAGAGAGAAGAGAAAGGGAGAAGGAGGAGAGAGAGAGAGAGAAGAGAAAGGGAGAAGGAGGAGAGAGAGAGAGAGAAGAGAAAGGGAGAAGGAGGAGAGAGAGAGAAGAGAAAGGGAGAAGGAGGAGAGAGAGAAGAGAAAGGGAGAAGGAGGAGAGAGAGAGAAGAGAAAGGGAGAAGGAGGAGAGAGAGAGAAGAGAAAGGGAGAAGGAGGAGAGAGAGAGAGAGTCACAGTTCACAGTAATAAAATATGTCCGTGTTATCGCTGATCCACAGAGCGACTGTGTTCACTCTCAGCGCAGAACATCAGATACAATCAATAAAATAAAATACAGCACTGAGAACCACTGAGAACCATTCAGCTTCACTCAAACCCAGTCGTTGCTCCTGTTAAAGCGGACCTCGGAACCAGAACAAACGAACTGAGAGCACCTTAACAGACTGAGAGGGAACAACTTTAACACTGGAAAACACAAATCAAACTCCAATAAACTCCCACTGATGATGCGTTACTGTTATAAATTATTAACACTCAACACACCACCATCACGTCTCTCACTGCAGTGCTGACCCACCACCCAAATAGTACCTGCTCTATGGGGGTCTAAGGGGGTCCTGACCACTGAAGAACAGGGTAACAAAGTATCAGAGAAACAGATGGACTACAGTCTGTAACTGTAGAACTACAGAGTGAAACTATACGGTCAGTGGAGCTGATAAAGTGGACAGTAGTGTGGAAACGAGGAGGTGGACTTAATGAAGTGACCAGTCAGTGTGTTATAGACAGATATATTTGACCTAAAGAACTGTAAATAGTGTCTGAATACTTTTGGGGGGCCTTACTCAGTTTCTTAGTCATCAATCAACACTGTATTTGGTGTCTGTAGTTTGGATGAGGATGTACACTGAAAAGCAATGGAAGCTTATGCTCCAAGTTTCTGACACTGTATGTCAGACTCTTATCTATAAACATGGACTAGAGTGTGGCCAGAATTCAGGCTTTAAGACGTTACAACTGTTTTTAGCTGTGCATCGTACACTGATCCATTTGAATCCAAAGCAAAGTGGAAAAAATCTTCATCAAATCTTTATTCCACTTTATTTCTGGACGCTGCTACCAGGAGACTCCTGCTGCTTTATGTTTGTTGTGATCTTGGTTTGCTGCTTTCGTATTCTGGATGCTGTCAGCGGGGCATGCTGAGTGTGGGGACTGCCCGATTTTCATATAAAACCCACCGAAGTGAAGCGAGACCCCCGGGCTCGTGTGGAAAAGGGAGCAGCGACTGTGGAGGGAATGCTAAGCTGCAGGTGGGTGGGATCTCCTCGACCTGGCCAATCACGGCCAGCCTTGATGTTAATCCCATTTGTCATAACAGATTTCTCTCTGATGTGAATAAACAACTGAGGGTCACAGGGGTCGAGTGTCAAGCTGTAGTAATGAGATGCTAATGGCCTCCAGAAGTGCAAGATCAACATGCTGACCTCTGCTCTGAGTCTTACTGAGCAGCACAGAAGATTTAACTCACTGTGAGCCTTCAGCTCCAGCTTTCACTGCCTGGAAAATGCTATGTAGAACCAAGGCTGAGCATTAAGGCCTAAAATAATATTGAGACACAACATTTAGTTTGTCCCAGGTCTGATATACTATATGGCCAAACGTATGTGAATACCTGTCCTTTCATATCTATATGAGCTTGTTGGATGTCCCATTCCAAAAACATCAACATTAATATGGAGTTGGTCCCCTTTGCAGCTCTAACAGCCTCCATTCTTCTGGGAAGCTTCTACAAGATGCTGGAGAGAGTCTGTGGGAATTTGTGTCCATTCATCCAGAAGAGCATCTGTGAGGTCAGACACTGATGTTGGACGAGAGGGTCTGGCTCACAATCTCCATTCTAGTTTATCCCAAAGGTGTTCAGTGGGGTTGAGGTCAGGGCTCTGTGAGGCCACTGGAGTTCCTCCACACCAAACTGGTCACTCCATGTCTTTATGGAGCTGCTTTGTGCTCAGGGGCTCAGTCATGCTGGAACAGGAAAGGCTCTTCCCTAAACTGCTGACACAAAGCTGGAAGCAGATAACTGTGTAAAATGTCTTTGTGCTGCAGCATCAACATCACCCTTCACTGGAACTGAGAGCCCAAACCCTGAAAACCAGCCCAGCCCATCATCCCTCCTCCACCAAACTCTACTGTTGGCTCTGCAGTCCGGTAGGTAACGTTCTCCTGACCTCCACCAAACCCAGATTCATCATCAGACTGACAGACAGAGAAGCTGATTCATCACTCAGAGAACACGGTTCCACTGCTCCAGAGTCCAGTGGCGGCGCTTTACACCACTCCAGCCGACGCTTGGCATTGGGCATTAGTGATCTTAGGCTTGTGTGCAGCTGCTGAGCAATGGAAACTCATTTCATGAAGCTTCTGATAGGCAGTTCTTGTGATGTTGCTTCCAGAGGCAGTTTGGAACTCAGTTCCAGTTTCAGGGGCAGATCTAGCAGGGAAGCAATTTAAAACTGACTTGTGTCAGAAGTGGCATCCAATGACGGTGCCATGTTTAAAGTCACTGAGCCCTTCAGTGCGACTCATTCTACTGCCAGTGTTTGTCTATGGAGGCTGCAAGGCTGTGTGCTTGATTTTATACACCTGTTAGCAATGGGTGTGGATGAAACACCTGAACTCTAACCAGGAGGGGTGTCCATATACCTTTGACCATTCTGTATGTATGTTGTGTTTTGGAACACCTATTAAAAAACACTACCAAAAATGTCCATTTCACCCACTGCGCTGCACTGAATCCAATTAAAAACACTTATAATTTTGTTCTCTTTGTAATGATCCATGTAGTTGGTCAGTAGTTGGTCAGACATACACAACAAAGACAGCTAGAGCTGATGTGTTTTTAACCGAAGGATCATTAATGCTGACAAACATGAACAAATATTAATACATCATGTAACACCCTCCAGAAACTTTTCATCGGGAAAAAATCTATTCGACAGCAAGATAACTACCACAATCACACTGCTGAGAGGATCAAAGCGTACCTGTCAAACAAAGAAGCTGAACGATGGACTGACCACCCCAGAGTCCAGACCTCAACACCACTGAATGTGTTTGATTACTTGGAGGTGTGTCTGCAGATTCTTTGAGGAACTGAAAGTGAGTCTCCTGAAGAGAACTGAAGCTGGAATAATATTATATTTAGTTGCTGAGGCCTCTTTGTGATTTTCTGTTATAATTTCATCACAAAAATACTTTTAACTCACAAAACTTCTCCAGAGTCCACCTAGTGACCCCTACTGCATGTTGCTGTCCCGAGCTTGTTGATGGCTCTGCTATTTAACAGCCATAAAACCACATATCACAGTCAGTAGACCCTCCTAAGTGCAGTTGTTGTGTCTGCTTAGAGCCAAACATCTACAGCCAGACGTCAATTTCAGACGCATTGCGAGTGAATATTATGGCTGAGTTACACTGCATCTCCTCATACATGTACATCTGTCTCTGAGCGGTCTGTTTCTGTACATGGGTCTCGTTTTTATTAATTAAGCCGGATTATCACAATTAATTAAGCTCAGCCGGAGAGAGAAGAAATCTCCAAGCCTGAGCTAATTAAAGATGCATAAATTAATTTCAAATCAATTAGAGAGAATGAAAAGACAGCAGACAGTCTGCACACCGTCGTGGCTCTGCGGGAGGAAACGTGGAGACAAACAGAAACTTACAACAATTTTTAACAAGATTAAACTTTTTTTCCCTTTACTTGATAACAAAATAAATAAATACAGAAATGAGAACTAAATTTAAGTTCTGAAGATCCACTGAGAAGAACCAAGACTCCAATGGAGACACTCCTTAAAAACTTCTCCATAATTAAGTGGTTAACATGTAAACAGAGCGGTTCAGAG